AAAATTTTAAATTTACATTGCATATTATACAAATAAAATGTGCAAATAAATTAAAAAATTATATTTTACTATACAACTTAAAATTTAAAATATAAATTATTTTATTATTTAATAATTATTTTTAATAATTAAATTAAAATAAAAATTTAACAATTGATATTTTCATAATAAATTATTTTCATGTGTAACAATAACCACGACATACGTTTTGCCTTTTGCTGCGATGTAGTTCCAGCCAGAGTGGATGGGTATTGAACAGTAATAAAAAAGTTGTCTTTGTCCTACCCACTTTCTCGTAGTAAACCTTTTTAGATTCACGTGGCCAAAATCCTAAGAGGATGTGCCACGTGCACACAAACTCTTTGAAACGATAAGAAATAAGTGATGTTATAGAGGTAAATTTTTTTTTTTATTTTATATAATTTTTATATATTATTAAATAAATAAATATATTTAATATCATAAATTTTACATAAATTAAAAAAATTAATTATTTTAATAATATATTAAATTATACAAAAAATAGAACAAAAAAATTATACAAAAAATATTTTCGGTAAGCAATACAGTGACTTGGCACATCCCATTAGGATGTGTGTAACTGCTAGTCTGGGTTTTGATGATGTGTCACTGTCAAACTTCACATGACACACCACATCTCCCTCATCCGTTGGTGCCTCTTTCTTTCGATCCCATGTGGGAATCACTTCAGCCTGTTAACAAGCTTTTTATCATTTGATGGAAAATTTTGTTTACATTTTTTTTTTTGTCAACGTGATGATTGGATAAATCATATTTCTTGGATGACAAAGGTAGACGTTCTGAATCAACTTGTGTGTATGTAAAAATTATTAATTTATTTAATTTATGTGTACATAAATATTGTTAAATTTGGTAAAATCTTTAAATTTACCTTAAAAAAATATATGTAGGAATACATCCACTCATAAAAAAAAAAAAGGGATAAATTACCCTCCAAATCATAAATCAATATCAATTACTCATTTTTCAACGAAAAACAACAGAATTTTGTTTGTCACGTCAGTATTTTTTAACGAAAAATGTTAAAAAATAAATGATTTGTATTGATTTATGATTTAAAAAGATAATTTGTCCCCTTTTTTTTTTAGGGGTGAATATGTCCCTACTGATATTTTTTGAGGATTCTGCCGTTAGTTTTTATGAGTGATTTTAAAGAAAAATTCCTAGCAATGATTGCAATAATACTATAAAAAAGGCCAAACAAGCTTACTTGCACGACCATACAAAAACTAATATGAGAGATACAACATGAATCTCAAATTGTTGGAGTCTTCAATAGTTCAAAATTTCAAAATTACATAATCAATAACATATATAATAATTATAAATAAACTTACTATAACATTAATTATTACAAAGCTTACGTAGACATACAATTATTGATCATATTTATATGTAGAAGACATATACTAATATTTAAACTACATATAAATAAAGGTGAGATATTTAAACTGAAATTATCACACATAAAAAAAAGACATTACAAGAAGCATATATAATATGGAGGGAATTGAGGGATGGAGTAGTTTCTCACATATCTCGAACGTGGAAGCTATTGGGAATCTTAACAACAATATCGTACATGTAAACTGAGTTGAACATGGCGAAGTCTTTTGGGAGTGAAATGAGGTCATTAGAGCGCTTGTGGTATTGCAAGAGGTCAGAGGCTCCTCTATACCTTTCCCACCCTAAAGCTTTCAAAATCTGGTCTAATTCAGAGTAGGAAGATATTACCTGACCAGTTGGCAAGTACACCAAAACTGTTGGTCGCCCAATGGACGACCCACCCCTTCCATTCGAATTACTTTCTGCTTGTGGATTAACAAAACGATATACACCATTAGGTTCGACAATCCAAACACCAGACATTTTGCTAGAAACGATATGTATGTATGTAGAGTAGTAGATGGGTTTTTGTTTGTGGGTTGATTTGGTAAGGATGGGAAAAGGGGTATATATATGGGGTGAAGGAACATAAAAAAACAAGAGCATAACCCTCAAGGAAAAGAATGTTGTTTGGCTTCGGTAAAGAATCTAGCTATTGTGGGACCTAATGGGTTTAAATAAGACACAACATCGATGCTCCTAAAGGTTAGTTTTTTTTAGTACTAATCTTATGGTATTTGAAAATCACATTGGATTCCGATTAATTTGAAGTTTAGTTGTATTGGACTCCATGAATGGAAGTTTTTTCAACACTTGTTTTCTTATTCATAAAACTTAAACTTGAAATCTTATTTAAATGAAATCAAGTTTTTTCCACTTGAACTAATAAGTCATTGATTCTTATGAGGTAATTTAGGATACACAACATAGCCCCTTTTAGATAGGACTACTAGGAATTGAGAATATTTGGGGGACTAGGATTCACTTATTGTTTCAAAAAGTCAATCATATTTGTTGAATTCTAATCTATCCATTCACATCACGAGTTGTCCACGTGAAGGAGTGAAGGAGATTGGGAGATATTTTAATTTCATATTTTAATTTTTAGAAAAAAGGAGTATACAGTTTAATACATGTTAGTGGGTTTGGGGGAATGAAAAAAGGGCATATGTAGGGTTTGGTTGGTAAGTATTCACAAAAAATCTAAAACCTTAATAAAAGAAAAGTTGCCTTTAATACTTTTTATGTTGGAATTTCCTTTGTTTCTTCTAGTGTTCTTAGCCGCCTTCTTTCTTCTAGAGGGTTCAAATGAATTTAGGCACAAAATTATAAGCATTACAATGTCATATATAGGATTGTGAAATTATAATCATAATATGTAATTAAATGATCAATAGATACATATAATATTAAGAGTAGACGTTTTAATGAAAAGAGTTAATTATATATATATTAAATAAGTAGATATATATAATTTTACTAGTGAATCTTTTAATGAAAAAAGTCAATTATTTATATTGACATATTATAATTGTAAATTAATAATATTGCGTGGCATTAAAATTTTACACAAATTAATACATATTCAATCCAACATAGTATATAATGCACTCACTAAAAAAAATCAGCATTTTTTGGTTTAGAATTAAGGGCTGACAAACTTAAAGACTCAACTATACATATAAAATACAAGAATTGACTGAATTAATTATACTTATATTATATTTTAATAATTAAACTGGATGAGTGTTGAAAGGTATGTCCAATTGGAGACGTTATCAATTATTCTCTAAATGAATATTAATAGATGTATGCATTATTAATAAGGCAGAAAGTAATTGTGAACTAACAAAAAGATGTTAATTTGATGTATCATGGCCAATTCAAAAATGAATTCAAGGCCCACAAAACCCTATATATATAATGTATATTTTTTTTTTGAGGAAAAATATATAATGTATATTTGATTGCATTGTATTTAATTAGTTTTGTTTCTCTATAAATTATTCAAGTTAAATTTATTACATTCCCACATGGCATCACATGGGCTAAATGGTCCTCCACAAACATAGAACCTTTTACAAAGTTCACACAACTTCGCACCCTTCCTTTTGTCCGACTTGTCAAGTCTATCATTACTGTGAACTTTCCCACTTCATGTGAATGCCTACTTCCCTTTAATCGGCATGGAAGTTGGTGGTTCAATTTGAACATTTGATCTAATTAGGCTCTTAGTTCCAACACTAATTCAATTCTAATTTTTAATTTTGATCATTTTGAAGTTAATGACAAGGTTGTACTAAACTCAGCTAATCATTTTTTGTTGATTATTAATTCTTACTGGTATAATTAAAGTTATTTTAACACGAATTATTTATTAGGCAAGTAACATGAGCCAACACCTAGGAGACATTAACACTTTAATAGATAATTAATCTCTTGAGAGATTTAGAAGTTTTAACAATTAAAAAATAATTTCATTCACTAATTATTTTAAGGGCAAAAGTCTTCAAGTCAAATATATATAGTAAGGTATATTTGATCGCATTGTATTTAATTAGTTCTATTTCTTTATAGATTAGTCAAGTTAAATTTGTTACATTCCCATATGGCATCACCCCAGTTTGGCGTAAAGCTTTCATCAATTCGGCCTTGGAG